TCTTTTTTGGTTCTTCTTGCTTTTGAACACTTTTAACATTAATAAGCATTACATTCATTCATGTTCTTGCTGTTAATGGCCTTCTCCAATTTTTTTTCTTTGCTGTTTTTAACAAAACTTGGCCTGTCACATGTATTTCACTTTCTTCTACTTTTTTCTGGTTTAAGCACTCTTTCCGACATTGATGCTTTATCAGGAAGTGCACAGCATGAAATTGAAAATCCCTGTTCACTAATTTGGCTACACTGGGGCATCTATTATGATAAGAAACTTTTTAATGCTTCAAGACATGTAAATATTGATTTCAAAATAAATTAATAAATCTGAAATAAACAGATTTCAAATAGTATAAGTAAAATAATGTTTTATTAATGATTTCATAAATAACAAGGAACTTTTTCCTGCAGATGAATAAAAAGCAACATCGTTACAACATTGTTAACCTTTTGGGAAGTGTGTGAAAATTTTTCCCGCCAGCAATCACGTGTTTTACTTTTTACAAGACTTAAAATTTACCAAATAAATTAAAAGATTCCATGTATAAATATGAATTTACGTTTTTGTTTACTTTTTTAGTCTCAATTAATGTGCACTTATAATCGGCACAAGAGAAGGGATTAAAAAATGGATATTTCACAAATAAAGTTTTATGAAAATAACACTTACTACACAGAATAATTATACTTGTAGTCAATTTACACATACATTTAGGAATATAGGGATGCTTAAAAATGTAGAGTCAAAAACATAGGGATGCTTAAAATACTTATTTTTAATCCCCATAGATAGAAATCAACTCTGAAAAACTAGATTTTGGCTAATAATGACAATATGGCATGAGTACATAACTTTAATTGATATTGGCTCAATTTTGACTTCTGAATTTGAAATGAGAGGGATTTTTTAAGTGCATGAAAGACCTACATACATGAAAGGAATTTTTGTTTCCTTTAACCTAACGACACTAAGCGGAAGTTGCAATTTTGAGTCCCACCCAGGGCCTAGTATTTTCTTCCAGAAAATTCTAGTCTGATAGTCTGATAATTTGGCAGATTGTTTGGCTTTAAAATTATTTTTGATTGGTCCCACATCTTAATTGATCACATGAAAATGACTAAAAAAGTGAGAAAAGTGAGAAAATGACCCGAAAGGTGAGAAAATGAGGATACTTCAAAAAAGTGAATACAAGTGAGAAAAGTGAGTGACACTGAGGCCTGGAATGGAAACATTATTGGCCTCCAAGATTTCTTGGTTCCTGATTTTTTCCTCCAGGCTTCCTCAAGGACAACATCTGCATTGCAATTTGTGATCTCTCAGAATAAACTTTCGTGAAAATTATAAAATATGGTGGTCTTGAATTTGTCACTATCAAGATGTGAAAGATAATCATATGCCAATGATTATAAATTATTTTTACAAATAATTTCTAGTCTGTATGCTTCAAATAAATATTACAATTTCTATTTTAATGTAATAATCAACAAATCATAGGTGTTTACTATTTATAAGATATCCTATATAAGGTTACAAATATGTTTTTGCCATATAAGGAACTTCTGATTGCACACATTATAAATGCACAATGGTACCACCAGCAGATTCTCGAATTGATATGTTGTTCACCTGGTATGTTGTTCTTTTTTCGGGTTCAACAACTTGAATTACACACAGGCACAGAGTATATCTATGGACAGCCTGCTTTCTGGCACACTTTGTGAGCTTGTTATAACAACATTAAAGAGTTCTTTCTTTCTTTGTAGAAAATGGCTGGCAGAATTACAATTTAATAAAAAGTAAAATACATCTGGATACGAGTCCAATTTTGCTTGTCATGTCCAATCACCAGAAACAACTATTTCCACTGCAGAGACAATCTTCCTTTAGAGGCTATGCCTCTGCACAAATATGTAAAACAGTTTAAAATGTCCACAGGTGACAATCCCAACACAATTGAAAATATAATATTTCTTTGTAGAAAAGGGCTGGCAGAATTACAATTTAATAAAAAATAAAATACATTGAAAATGGCAAGCAAAATTGGACTCGTATTCAGATGTATTTTACTTTTTATTAAAGAGTTCTTTCTTACTGATGTATAGCTAGGAAATATGCTTCTAAACTAGATACAGAGATGACATTACTTATCACTTGTTATACTAAATGAAATGTATCTGCATACCAGGATAACAATAAAATTTTATCATTATCCTGGTGTGGTATGCAGATATGTATTCTTCAGCAATGCCAACTAGAGTTTATCGTAAGGTGGTGTTAAGCCTAAGACCAGAGCAAGAATGGATGTTTTATTGGTTTGTAAAAGAAATGAGGTGTTCTCCATGTCGCTGTTTTGCATTCACCTGCTGCCTGGAAATGAACTTCTTAACAAGGTGAGATGGATTTGCATGAACAGGGCCATTAGGGGGTCTAGGAAATTGGTCTATTCTAACTTGGCGTGGCTTATAGACATTGAGAATTCTTTGTTCCAATGAGACCTGAGGATCTTAGCAGTGGAGAATGCCAAACTTATCAACATATAAGATAGACTGATAGGCAACATGAAGAAGCATTACAACAAGAAACTACAATGGCTTCTGAGTGTTCAATTGCCCAGGAGCTGCAAACAACAGGAAAACAGCAAACAAATGTCCATTTGTTGTGTGGGATGACTTACAACTGCTGGGATTTGTCAAGGAAGCGATTTGGACCAATGTTCGCTCCTCCACCTCCCACGAGTGATGGTGTAAGATCATCCATCCCGAATTTGGAGATCCTTTTGCTGGGCTTTTCCAATAGGCAAAAAGAATATTATATATGGATGGTCATATGTTCTTATAAAATATGAAACATATGAGAGGCACCTTCATGAATATGTCAATGTGACCCAATGTACAGAGGTAAAGGAGGGCTGGATAGATAAGTTGCTATCTAGAGTTAAGCATTTTGCCAATACAAAGTTGGCAAGCAGCCTAGCTATGGGTAGCATTGTCATGGATTCACCAGATGTCCCTAAATTATTTGCATTTTCCAAGACACACAAGCAAGGGCAACAGCTCTGTTCAATGGTTGACAAGGCTAGAGCACTTACACGTTTGGAGAAAGCCAGACATACCCTGCTTACTCCACACCTGTATGGGTATCCATTTGCCATTTCCAGTGCAGTAGAACTGTCAGAGCAGTTCAAAGGGATTGCCTCCCCAAGTACATTACACTGTTGACTTTTGGTCTTTATACCCCTCCATTGAGCAACCCCTTGTTTCTATGCTCTCAGACTCTTCCTGTGTACAAGAACGGAGGATAGAGCAATGCACCAGCAAGTACTAGAGTTGGCACTTAATGTGTTTTAGTTCTGTATTCAGTTTAATGGGGTTGTATACACTCAAAGTAAAGGGGGCCTCATGGGCAATGGTTTCCAGTTTCTGGGGACATCTGTGAATTGGTCATCAGACAATTGGAAAGTGGGACCCTCCCACTTCCTCCATAACATCGTCCTATACAAGAGATATATTGAAGACATCAGCATTTTCTGGAGGACAACACTGAATTTGATGCAATTTGTTGATGCAATGAATGACAATCCATAAGGGCTGTTCCTTGAGGTGAAACAGCACAGCCCTGCTTGGGTCCACTTCTTACATGTAGATATTAGGGTTGAGGGGTCAGACATATACACATCTGTTCATTGTAAACCATGTACAATCTCCACATATATCCTGATTGGATCATGTGATCCATTTCCATACAAGATGGCAACCTTCAGAGCTTAGAAAAGCATTCACATATTCTTCTACCCCACAAGTGCTAAGCAGAGGAATTAAGGCTTATATAACAGGTAGCCAGATCACATGGTTACACCAACCTTATACAAAGTGTGTGTGAATGGCACAGATGTGCACAGGCAGGATCCACCATTTTGATGGAAATGTTGAGAGATAAACAGGAAAAGGATATGGAGAGGATCTCTCTCACTTTAACCCACATTTAAAATCATTACACACCACAATTGACAAGAAACGACAGGTCAGTATTACATACAGGAGATGCCCCTCTATATTCAGCCTACTTCATAACAGAAAAGACCTCCTAATCCCAATAGACTATAGCATCCCTATCAGACAACATATGGGATAGAGAAATGGTGTAAATTGGGTCTACTAAGTATTCAATGGGGGTTAGGATATATGAGCATAAATCAGATATACAGCATAATAGGAGTACCACTGCACTCTCCAAATATGCGACAGACCCTGATATTATGGCAGACTTCACCAGAGCTCAAATTATCCTTACTAACCCACATGCAAAACACCTCAAGTGGTTAAAATAGATTGGGAAGAAATCAAGGTTATCAAAGCAGTACATGACATCTCCAATATTAAAGGCATGGAGAAGCTGCAGATTTTGAAATCTGTAATTGATTACAAGGATATTGAAAACTTCTCCTATCATGTAGATTGTGTTACAAAATTTCTTGAAATAAATTAGCACATCTCACCAATTCAAATTACATCAGTAGTGCAGCATTAATCACAGAATTCTGATTTGTATAATAACTTGTTATATTTATGTGTTTGTAATGGTATTTATTTTATATCTTTGATCTTTATACGTTGTGTTGCTTAATATGGATATATGTCTTTATGCAACATATGATTGATATATGTGCATATTTTAAAAATTGGCACATACTGTTCTGTAGACATTTTTAAAAATAAGCAATAGTATGTTCATTCTACTTATTTTAAATTCCTAACCTGATGTTCTACAAATTTAAGGATGTTCAAATTCTAAATTACCTGGTGTTTATTTTATTAGTTTTGGTGTATATCCAGTTCTACTCACATATTAATAAAAAAAAATTATGCTATTTTTAATTGAAATTCTAGATATAAACAGAAATACTAAAACTATCTGGATTGCTTCATTTTTAAAGTTTTAATTATTGACTCTGTTCTTTACAGTTAATTAATTTGACTAAAATACAAAAAGTAAACACAATTTACCTGACGATGAAATTTACTAACTATGATGGATGGCTTACGTTCATCAAAATTACATGTCATCCTTATTAACTGTTGAAGGGTGCGTTCATCTTTATGATTATCACAACAGAATGCAAAAACAAGACTCTTCAAACACGATTCCACTGCTAGTGCCCATTTGGCATCTTTTAGTTTGATACAGATTCCTTAAGAAAATAAATTTAAATAAATTATTATTATTTTTATTTCAAATAATATTTACAATCACTATGATGTGTTTAATAATATGACTATCACTAAATATTTTTTTTTTATTTAAAGCCAATGATAAATTTATGATGCAGCACAATCTTGATGGATTAAATATTAGTCATATGCAACATGATAATCTCAGACTTCAATATTTTTTATGACTTTTTTTTATATTAGAGTCCAAGTTCTTTAATTGAATTTTGGATAATTGATCTATAATAAATTATGTTTCCTGCAAAAATTAATATTTTATTTTATTGAATCAGTAGAGGGCAAATTTTTAAATCCTTGTTCATTTCTTGTATTATAAATTTAAATACTGATATCATTATACAGGGTGTTTCAAAATGATCAGAACGATTTTACATTGTTACATACATTTCATAAATTTTCAAAACAAGATGTTATTTCTCACACATCTAATGGAATTGTCCAAGTTTAATTGTTAATAGGTAACATGAAGCTGGATGTCACAGATACTTAACCTATCCCATGTTAAAATTTTTTTCTGTTGAGTGTCGTGCCATGTTGAATTTTTGTTAATGTTAAGCCTAACGAAAATTACACATTTTGAAAAATAATCATATCATCTGAAATTATTTTTTTATTTTGCACAAACAAAATAGATATATTAATAAATGTAAAAACAAAAAAAAAATTTATTTCAGAAGTTACTTTTAATATAAAACTTATAACGGCTAGCGACATCTAGTTTCAAAAACGTTTTGATGCTGAGATGAGATATCTTGAGTCCACAGGTCAAGATCATTAGGTCACAACCTGAGATATGTCGGGAATACCAGAGAGTAGGTTAATGTGAGCTCCCTTTGTCACTCTGTAAAGGTCTGCTAGTGTAAGGTGCTGCAGAAACTGTACTCAATAAGGACACATTTTTAGATGCTTAATGCAAAACACTCCACATAGTTGTTTTGGAAATTTCAAGCTTCTGGCTCACTCTCACTGTAGACTTTTGAGAGCAATGCTGAAAACACTTTCCAATTCTCTCCACACTGGCCTCAGAAACTGGCTCTGTCAGACAATTTACCCTTACAAAAACAGCCTGTTCACAGGAATTGATCATACCACATTCAAATAGAGTACTTTGCTACTGGTTTTTTATGAAATCAAATACAAAACTGACATTGCACACTCAATACTGACCTACTCACATGAAATTGTAAGATGCAAAAATGCTTTCTTCTCACTACTGGAAATTATTTTCAGCAGACTAGTGGTGAAAATTAAAATGGGAGTTTTTTATCAAATTTATTTCATGGTTCCTAAGTTGAAGTGCACGGATTTGACTTCGGTAAAGTTATTTAAAGCTGCTTTCTGATGTCAAAAACGACCTCCAATAGTGTTTAAATTCTTTTAATTAATATATTTTATTTTATATAAATTTAATTAATTAGGGGGGTCGGAAATCGCAATAAAATTTTTAATTTTTTAAAAATATTTTAAAATATAGGCCTAATTAGTAGTCACCCTACTTTAAACCCTTGTCCTCCCGAGACGTCTATGAGAATGCCTCGGGAAATCCGACTCCAGCTGT